TCATATGCTTAAAAGTGAAACAATGCCAATCATTGCAATGATCAAGCACACAAAAAGTCTGCAAAAAAGTTTAAATCCTAGTTTATATTTTTTATTAATGTTTACAGATAATGTAAACACACGAATTATTTCAGTTTCTGGACCCATGAGCCTAGGCTAGTTTACAAGGCACCTTACTAACTATACAAAACCTAACCATGATTGAACCCTAGAAGCCTATGTATAGATTAATGTGGAAGACAATAAAGAAGGAATCGTTAAGAGCAATGTGAGAGGGAAGGATGAGCATCAGTGGGGCTGTGAGCAAATAAGAACAAAATAAGAAACACTAACCCAAAGTAAACTACTACTAAGTCTTATAGTTAATAACTTTTAAGAAGTAATTAAATTTAGGTACTAATTTTCAGGACCTCTCTATACCCCCACCCCCTTCTAGCTTACTATATCATCAAAAAGCATAAACCAAGTACATCAAATCTTGTTCTAAGAGGTGTTTTCTATCACAGTGTCTGGCCTCTCTTTGTTTTTTAACCTCCAATGTTTTCTCCAAAAATAAAAACAACCTCAAATACTGATGCAGCCAAATGTTTGAAATACCAAAATGTAAAAGTGACCAAGTTAACTCAGAACCCTTTAATCTTCCCATTCCTGCAAGGGTAAGCATTAGCTATCCCACCAAGAGTCTCAGGGAACCTTTCATCAAGGCTTGTCTCCCTTTTCTGTACTTTGCATTCATTTGCTCTGTCCTGATGTGGACAAATCCACTAATCAGTGTTTTTGGACAGCCAAGTCTTTCTAGGCTGACCCCAAGATTTAAATTCTCAGCCTGGCTCTCCAACCTAGCACTGATTTTCAGTTTTGTCTTTCAGATCTTTCTTGGCTCTATGCTGCTGGCCATTCCTACCTATCCCAGTGTCTAGCTGGGCTTCTAGAACCTCTGCCTGAATCCTACATCTCAGTTCCCTAGTTGTCTAAGGGAAGTAAGATGCTGAGGCAATAAGACGCTGAGGCATCATTTTGTGAGAGTGTGGAAACAAACTCCAGTTTAATTGCATTTATTTTTTTAGCTAGTACCTATTTTTTATTTACCACAGAAAACAGTGTATGTACACCCAAGTAGAATGAATACTAAATAATGAGGATTATAACACCCTCCACATGACACCCATCACACAATTCCAACAGTTGCCCACTTGTTTTTTTTGTTTTCTGGGGCTTTTATATATTTTTTTAAATTTATTTTTGAGAGAGAGATAGAGACAGCATGAGCAGGGAAGGGTCAGAGAGAGAGGGAGACACAGAATCTGAAGCAGGCTCCAGGCTCTGAGCTAGCTGTCAGCACAAAGCCCGATGCAGGGCTCAAACCACGAACTGTGAGATCATGACCTGAGCTGCAGTTGGACGCTTAACCGACTGAGCCACCCGGGCAACCCTGGGGCTTTTTTAATATATATAATTTATTGTCAAGTTAGCTAACATACAATTACTCTTGGCTTTGGGGGTATATTCCCATGATTCATCACTTACATACAACACACAGTGTTCATCTCAAGTCCCCTCCTCGATGTCCATCACCCATTTTCCCCACTCAGACCCCATCCCTCACCTCCATCAACCCTCAGGTTGTTCTCTGTATTTAAGAGTCTCTTATAGTTTGCCTCTTCCTCTGTAACTATTTTTTTCCTTCCCTTCCCTCATGGTCTTCTGTTGTTTCTCAAATTCCACATATGAGTGAAAACATATGAAATCTGTCTTTCTCTGATTGACTCATTTCACTTAGCATAATACCTTCCAGTTTCATCCATGTTGTTGTGAATGGCAAAATTTCATTCTTTTTCATTGCTGAGTAGTATTCCAATGTATATATACCACATCATCTTTATCCATTCATCAGGTGATGAATATTTGGGCTCTTTCCATAATTTGGCTATTGTAGATAGTGCTTCTATAAACACTGAGACACATGTGCCCCTATGAATCAGCATTTTTGTATCCTTTGGCTACAATAGCACTAGTAGTGCTATTGCTGGGTTGTAGAGTAATTCTACTTTTTTAAGTTTATTTATTTTGAAAGAGAGCTACTGGGGGAAGGGCACAGAAAAAGGGAGAGAGAGAATCCCAAGCAGGCTTCACACAGTCAGTGTGCAGATCCCGATGCAGGGCTCAAACTTATGAATTGTGAGATCATGACCTGAGCCAAAGTCAAGAGATGGATGTTTAACTGACTGAGCCACCCAGGCAGCCCTATGGGTAATTCTATTTTTAATTTTTGGAGGAACTCCCACACTGTTTTCCAGAGTGGCTGCACCAGGAAACCAACTCCAATTTAGAAGGGACCTGGACTGCCAAATTAGTATTACTTTTGGGTGAATAGTGGTTTGAAGCAGGTGCACCTACACTGGACAGTTCCAGAAGTACCATTCATTCACTTGTTTCTAGAACGTATGTTTCAGGAGCTGCCATTCAAATACAATACAGTATAAATGGTGTTTATGGCATTGTGCTTTCAAGGGAAGTAACATTTCATTGAATACCAAATCATTGTGAAGTCTTCAAAGTTTTTGTTTTTTAATGTCAAAACTAGCATTACAGGGGTACCTGGGTGGCTCAGTTGGTTAAGCGTCCGACTTCAGCTCAGGTCATGATCTCATGGTCTGTGAGTTCGAGCCCCACATCAGGCTCTGTGCTGGGAAGTCAGAGCCTGGAGCCTGCTTCAGATTCTGTATCTCCATCTCTTTGCCTATCCCCCATTCATGCTGTGCCTGTGTGTATGTGTCTCTTTAATGTTTAAATAAACATTAAAGTTTTTTTTAAAAACATTACATAATTTCTGAAAAGTACATACAGTAAAGTGAAATAACATCAGAGAATCACCCTACTCATTATCTATCTTTAAAAAAATAGTTTTAAAACACAGCCAAACAAAATTAATGAGCAGAAACTTTAGGAACAAGACATGAATTTAAGCCAGAATGTGGTAGTCAAAAAGGAAATGCAGATTTTTCATAAAGCTTGGGATGAGTTCTAATCCTGCCCCAAAGAGCAAAAGCAGTATTGGTGAGTAGACAAAATCCTGAGAATTCTTAACATTTTGGCACTGGGAAAAAAGGGAAGGAATCTGGGGAGAACTGACGCTTGTGAAGAGTTAAACGTGAGCTGGTCTCTCTTTCTCAGGGCTCTATGGTGAAACAGAAGATCAAACAAATTCAGCGGATATTTTCTCCAAGGAAGTGAGAAATATGCCCCCTCTGCCACATGAAAGGAAAAGAAAAAGATTTATATATTACTCTTTAAAAAAATTATTTGAAGGCAAAATCCAACCAAACAAAACTGACTCAAAATAAAAAAACTCAGGAATAAAGCCAGTAAAATTGGGGCTGGTTAACTCTGAATCTACACAAATGCAGAAGCAAAGCTTTTATAAGAGGTGGGAACTATGGTTATAAAATAAAATATAAATATTATAAGCCTTAATAATTCAAAAATAACATAAAACTAACAAAAATCAGAAAGGTAAAAGGAGGGGCACTTGGGTGGCTCAGTTAGTTAAGTGTCCAACTTTGGCTCAGGTCATGATCTCACAGTTCGTGAGTTCGAGCCCCACGTCCGGCTCTGTGCTGACAGCTCAGAGCCCAGAGCCTGCTTTGGATTCTGTGTCTCCCTCTCTTTCTGCCACTCCCACCACTAGCAGTTTGTCTCTCTCTCTCTCTCTTAAAAATAAACATTAAAAAATAAGGTAAGAGGAGCTAAGATAGAAATAAATATATTAACTTAATTTTCTCATTTTTCACAGCAAAAGGTAAATCAATTCTATCTAAAATGAAAATGTGTAGTTTTTTAAAAAAAATAATTATTTTAGTTTCTTAATGCTTTCATAATCATTTTCAAAATTTTAAACATTTCCTAAAGAGCCCTCAAATGAACAAATGATATATCAAAACTTCCATAACCCCTCATTTCACATCAGCTTCTTTTTCCTCTGCTAAATTCAAATAAGAATATAGATATAAATTTCTTACTATGAAGTAGTGCATGCAATATGATATGTCCATTAATCCACATACCCACAGACACTGTATGTGTCTATATGGGTACAGACTGGTATGATGGTCATCTAACAGTTCATTTCTGAGTGCCAGAATTAGATGGCTTAACAATTTTTTTCTTTATATTTTGTGGCACTGTTTGGATTATTTATAATACACATGCATCATTTTTATTTACAAAGGACGTACTGAGTGAGAAGGCCTACTGAAGGTTATGTACGTGTTCAGGACAATCCTTCAAACGTTCAGAGAGAAAGGTCTGATGATCACCATCACTTATTAATAAGTCTCTATAAAATTCTTTCCCGGTAGCCCTAAGGAAAGTGGGGCACTAGAAAGGCTATAGTTCAATATTTACCAACTTTTAAAGTAGTCATCAATCACAAAAGAAGTCTTTCCTAACCATGATATGATCTTTGTGATCTTGGAGTGGTTGCAGTTCATTACAACTACCACAGAGAGGTGCCTGGATGGCTCAATCAGTTAAGCCGCTCACTCTTGATTTTGGCTCAGACCCTGATCTAGGTTCTTGAGTTCGAAACCTGCATCTGGCTCCACACCATTTGCTTGAGATTCTCTCTCCCCTCTTCTGCCTGCCCCTCCACAGCTCATGTTCTCTCTCTTTCTCCCTCCCTCTTTCTAAGAAATAAACTTAAAAAAAAAAAGAAATATTTATTTTTTAAAAAACTACCACAGAATATTACCACTTACATGAGGCTATATTTGGATTTCAATGCAACAATACTTCTAAGCATTAAAGTATCATTTCATGAATAGTGTATATTCTATTCTACCTTTAATAGGTAGCTACTCCTAAATTACCCTCAATGAAAAAAGTATATCCAAGGAAAGGGGAAAAGATAGAGCTCATCTAACTAAAATCTAGCACATTTATGGATGAAAACAATAAATTTTATGTATGAATTATCAAATATATAAAAGCAAGAAACATACCAGTAGAGGTGCTTCCATTGTCTTAATAAATCGATGAATGTTTAGTGTAGCCAGTGGCTGTTCCATCAGTGTCCTTCTACATTGCTGGGTCAAATCCAAGACTTGTTTACAATGAAAAAAGTAGAAATGTGCATTTTCTATAGCCTCAGTGCTGCAAATTAAAAATTAGGGTCAGACTCACTTGAAGAAGTTCATGTGTGATCTTTCTACCATCCAGAAAGAAACAGTTCTAAGTATCTTTGCCTTTAAGTTTCATGCTTTTGAATTACCTTTTTATTAAAAATCTAAAACAGCAAAACAAAACGGACCCACACATAAAAGAAGATAACAAATAGTTTCTGAGTTGTATAAGCAACTTTTCCCCTGAATTCTTTGATATGGTAGCTTCTAAATTAGATTATAGGCAGGTCTACACAATTTTTTTTTAACAAAAGACTGTCACCTTGAGGACAAGGAAATTATCTTCAAATGTAGTTGCTTTTCTAGAGCTATGCTAAATAAAGCCTTGTAACACAAATTTTCTAGGTTTAATTTAAACTCAAATCTGTTTTGAATAAACTTCAGCCAAAACATGCCTTAAGATAGAAACCATGTGACAGTTTGTGGGAGTTTGTGAGTTTGTATCTGAAATATTACAAAACTCAGCAAATATGGCTTATAATTTGAGTTCTGGCATCCTGTCAATATGACAATTCAAAGGTAAACTTATAGTGGGTAAGTAAGGTTTGCCAAAATTAAAACAGCATTTTAAAAATCTCCATATGGCATTAGTAGGGCTTGGCAAAAACTGCAAATTTTTATTTTTAAAATGTTATTTTAATTCTTGATACATGCTTACACTTAGATCTGAGTTTCACTGATTTCAAATTTAATGACAAACCAATTTCTAATAGATTTATGGATTAAAGAAATAATCACTCAAAGATTATTTAATATGTACTAAATACAAAAAACTAAGATGAAATAAGATGATTCAAATACTTGAGAGGCTTCGATTGAAGTAGATATGTTTAGTTTTTTTTAATGTAGTTTTTTTTTTTAATGTAGTTTATAAGTGCTATAACATGCAAAGTGCTATAAGAAACAGAAATCTTTCATTCTGCCTCAAGTCAGGGAGAAGAAAGAAAGGGAGTATAAGATCACAGAGATTAAAAACAGTAAAGGAAAGAATGGCTTCTCCAAAAAGATAAGACAAATGGGTACTTTAGACAAAGGAACTACGTAGCCAAGAACCAATCAAAGTATGTAATTTTTTAAGGAGAACCCTAAATATACTGAAAGTAAAGTGCTGAATGCAGGAAGGCCCAGCTGAGGCAGGACCTCATTATCATAACCTCTGAAAGAATAAAATAATACTGGAAAGTTACTTCATCAGAGATCATGGGTTGTAGGTAACAGAAACCAAAAAGTTTGGGGGGGGTTACTTATTAGAAGTATAGAAGTATATATTACAAGATATAAGGAAAATTCAAGTAAGTGGATAAGAGAATAAACGTATAGATTTGAACAGCAAGAGTTCAAGGGACCTTCATTTTGCCATTAATACTTTCAGCTCCCAACTCTCTCTATAAAGACAACTCTTCCGGGGCTCAGTTGGTTAAGCACCGACTTCAGCTCAGGTCATGATCTCGTGGTTCGTGGGTTCGAGCCCCGCGTCGGGCTCTGTGCTGACAGCTTGCAGCCTAAAGCCTATTTCAGATTCTGTGTCTCCCTCTCTCTCTCTGTTCCTCCCCTGCTCATGCTCTTCCTCTCTCTCTCTCCCCTTCAAAAATACAATAAACATTTTAAAAATTAAAAAAAAAAAAAAGACAATTCTCTCTGCTTTACTTCTAGATGGGCAAAACATTCCCATGAGCAAGAGAGCCAAAACACTGTTTAATCTAGTTTCTCCACGCTCAATTCCAAGTTCCTCAGAGGAGACCTCATTTGTTCATGTAGGCCAGTGGGCTGGCTGACCCTAGATCAGATGACCACCTCTGATTCACCTGACAGTGATAAATGGGGTGAGGGGTAACATGTTCCTTGGTCTGTACACAGATTCTAAAAGAAAGGAGTATGGGGAGGTAGCAGAAACTACTGGTGTCCCTATGGCATGCTACGTGTATATACCTATCATATACATCTTCCTTAACCAACATATAATTTCAAACAAATTCAGGCCCAATATGATGTAACAACTAATATACTAGACTTATCCAGTGTTACAGCCCCGCAACTGGAATAGTGCTTACCACAGAGGAAGCATTCAATAAATATTTGTTGAATAAAAGAATGAACAAATGAAGGAAAAAATACATTCACCTCTCCTCCACTAAGAGACAACCCAAAGTCATAGCCAATTATTTCATCTAGAAGTCATGCCATATGACTACTGTACTCTGAATCCACATACCTCCCTATCATATCAGGTCTAGGTATGACTCCTCACCATCTTCCTATCCATGAATAAATGAGCATTCAAACATCTCCAATATATCATATACTCAAGAGTATACAAAAAAAATTAACTGGATCTCTTAAAATTCTCATTTTAAAAATAGGAGAAAGTAAAAACCCTTCCAGAACATTATCATGTTTAGCCATAGATCAGAATATATGCTATGTATATATCTTGCTGAGCAGGATTTGTAAGATAAATAACAGAACCTATATAAATAAATAAATAATTTAATTTAAATTGCTAGTAAACACCCCTCTATATTTTAAGCAGGCCACTTTACAACTTACAACTATAAAGTTGCAACTAATAAAGAAGCTAGTGACACACAAAAAAGTACAAACAATTAACCCTCAGAGAAACTGTGGAACTAGCATAGAACTGCTATGAGAGGAGAAAAGGAAGGCTTTCCCCCATTCTGGGATGGGAAACTGACGGTCTACACAGGGAGTAGCAAAGCAGCTGTTCCTCATTATCTCAAGACTCAGTGACTTATGGCAAAGCTTTTCGGTACTGTCGACAAGTCTCAAATTGTTAAAAATATTAATTTTTATACCAACAGTAAACATGCATCAGAGTTTTATTTAATTTGTTAACGAGGGAACCAGCAGAATGACAGTTCACAAAGAGACTAATGTAAAAGGGAATACTAGCTAACTTTGTACAAAGCAGTAAAAACAGAACTTCTCTTTGCAGTAACTTTATTCTCTGCCTACCCACCCCTCTCAAAAAATTATTTCACTTAATCGGCTCTCTATACTCTAACCTCTAAATTTACAGAGTTGCAAAATGTCTGGGATTTAATTAATTGTGTATAGTATATCAAATAGTCACTGTTTTCTGAGAGGTTAGCAAGAGGGCTCATTAAAAACTCTTGCATGGAGTAAGTCATACAATCACCATTTTACTTTGCTTTGGGTTAATTTTCCTGAAGAACATTTTAAAGCCACATCTTTAAAATACATGGCTATTCCCTGTGTCTGTAAGTACTAAAGGAAAGAAAAACTTCAACCCTAGGTTGCTCAGGCAGAGTCAAAAGAAGGTCTCCACCTAAAACTGTAAGCCAGAAACTAGACAAGAAAAATAAACATTTAAAACATTCTGCTCAAAAACTGTACTTAAATGTATTTAAGACTATTCTGACAAAATAACTTACAGAACTCTCAGAAAGAACTTCTGGAGCTTAGTTATGAAAGCTGTTATTTTATCACCTACCTGATCACTCTGGGAGATCTAATCCTAAAATACACTTGGGCATTCATGGAATCACATCTTGTGGCTTATCCATTTTCTTTGTTCACTTTAGCCTAACATTACCTCTGTATATTTAAAATCATTTTCAGACTGTAGAACAACAGACAATAGTAATGAAGGGGATTTCTGGTTTCATTTATATATTCACATCTGCTTACAATTCTTTTCGGGTAAGTCCACAATGTGAGTCTGATGGAGATGTTGAATAAGTAATGTGAAAGAAGCAAATTTGAAATTTGTTGACATATGCCTCCTTGTACGTACCCAATACTTTCCAAAAGGGCAATTTCCGTGGTTAGGACAAACTGGTACATGGTCCCATACACAAAAGCAGCTTCCATGACCGCTCTGTGCTCTGAGGAAGACATAAGGGAGTTGGGAGACATGAGGAGCCAGTTTGTGTGACTCTCTTCTAAAAATTGCCCTACAGCCTTTTAGCCTCAATTATAAAGAAAAATCCCTTGTAGGGATCCCAGTTAGGAAAATGCAGGCAGTTACTAAAAGCCTATTCTATTCAAGGAAAGAGAATAGTTAAGAGGGAATAAAAATGAGTTCCTATACTTGAGAATATAACATATGACAAATGTGTGACAGTTTCTTCCTGGTAGTGGGGGAGAGACTATGTATCAACCATCCAACTTTCATATATTTTATATGTGTATATGCCTGCTTATTGTTTCTGACTTGGTTATCTTCTAGTCAAACTTATTCTTATATATAGCTCAAAAAGAAACAATTCCACAAAGCATATTAAGAAAAACAACAATTTCTCCCCATTTCCAAGTCCCAAGAGACACTTGCTTTCAATTCTCTTTCTGTTTCTTTTGGTAATTGCCTCCAAGTCTTTAACAGACATCTCATACTTTCATTTCCTGATTTTTTTAAGTGTTATTGATAATTACCTATTGACTTCCCATTATGGAGACAACAAATTAGCTCTTTCCCAAAACCTCACTTCACATACACTTCTGTCCCCTCCATAATCCCAATATAGTTCTAATTTTTATTACCTCAATTATCTGTATGTACATGGTGGTAATTCAGCAAATATCACTTACAAGTGATACAGAGAGTGTCAAATAAACATTTCTCCCTTCTTGAGCCCTTTCCACTACTTATAGCTTTTTAATTTCTATTTAAATTTCTTCCTAATTTCTTTCTAAATTCTTCCGCAACTGGCTAACGCTCTCAATACTCCAAACAGATCAGGCACACTACTGGTCCCCTCTTCTTGCAGCCTTCTGGTTTGCTGCAACCTGATGTGCTGCACAGCTTTCATCCTTGGAACGCACTTTGTCATCATCCTGGGAATTCTCTTACTCTTTCTCTTGTGTTAGGTCCTTTGGTCTGTTACCCACATCTTCTTTTTTTTTTTTTTTAAATAATTTATTGTCAAATTGGCTAACATGCAGTGTGTACAGTGTGCTCTTGGTTTTGGGGGTAGATTCCCATGGTTCATCAATTCCATACAACACTCAGTGCTCATCCCAACAAGTGCCCTCCCTCATGCCCATCACCCATTTTCTCCTCCCCCTCACCCCCCGCCATCAACCCTCAGTTTGTTCACTATATTTAAGAGTCTCTTATGGTTTGCCTCCCTCTATTTTTTCCCCTACCTTTCCCCCATGGTCTTCTGTTAAGTTTCTCAAGTTCCACATACAAGTGAAAACATCTGATATCTGTCTTTCTCTGACTGACTTATTTTACTCAGCATAATACCTTCTAGCTCCATCCACATTGCTGCAAATGGCAGGATTTCATTCTTTCTCACTGCCAAGTAGTATTCCATTGTATATTTAAATCACATTTTCTTTATCCATTCATTGATTCATCGACATTTAGGCTTTTTCCATAATTTGGCTATTGTTGAAAGCTCTAGTATAAACATTGGGGTACATGTGCCCCTATGAATCAGCACTTTTGTATCCTTTGAATAAATTCCTAATAGTGCTATTGCTGGGTCATAGGGTACTTCTATTTTTAATTTTTTGAGGAACCTCCACACTGTTTTCCACAGCAGCTGGACCAGTTTGCCTTCCCACTAACATTGCAAGAGGGTTTCTATTTCTCCACATCCTCACCAGCATCTGTTGTTTCCTGAGTTGTTCATTTTAGCCACTCTGACCAGTGTGAGGTGGTGTCTCAGTGGGGGTTTGATTTGTATTTCCTTGATGATGAGTGATGTTGAGCATTTTTTCACAGGTCTATTGGCCATCTGGATGTCTTCTTTGGAGAAGTGTCTATTTATATCTTCTAACCATATCTTCACTAGATTCTGTTTTTCAGGTGTTGAGTTTGGTAAGTTCCTTATAGATTTTGAATACTAGCCCTTTATTTGATATGTCATTGAAAATATCTTCTCCCATTCTGTCAGTTGCCCTTTAGTTTTGTTTCCTTCGCTATGCAGAAGCTTATATCAGGTCCCAAGAGTTCATTTTTCCTTTTAATTCCCTTGCCTTTGGAGATGCATTGAGCAAGAAATTGCTGCAGCTGAAGTCAAAGAGGTTGTTGCCTGCTTTCTCCTCTAGGGTTTTGATGGTTACGTGTCTCACATTCAGGTCCTTCATCCATTTTGAGTTTTTTTTTGTGTATGGTGTAAGAAAATGGTCCAGGTTCATTTTTTCTGCATGTTGCTGTCCAGTTCTCCCAGCATCATTTGCTAAAGAGACTGTCTTTTTTTTCCATTGGATACTCTTTCCTGCTTTGTCAAAGACCAGTTGGCCATACATTTGTGGGTCCAATTTTGGGTTCTCTGTTCTATTCCACTGGTCTCTGTGTCTGTTTTTGTGCCAATTCCATACTGCCTTGATGATTACAGCTTTGTAGTAGAGGCTAACGCCTAGGATTGTGATGCCTCCTGGTTTTGTTTTCTTCTTCAATATTACTTTGGCTTTTCAGGGTCTTTTGTGGTTCCATACATATTTTAGGACTGTTTGTTCTAGCTTTGAGAAGAATGCCAGTGCAATTTTGATTGGGATGGCATTGAATGTGTAGATTGCTTTGGGTAGTATTGACATTTTAACAATACTTATTCTTCCAATTCATGAACATGGAGTGTTTTTCCATTTCTTTGCATCTTCTTCAATTTCCTCCATAAGTTTCTATACTTTTCAGCCTACAGATCTTTTACGTCTTTGGTTATGTTTATTCCTAGGTATTTTATGGTTCTTGGTGCAGTTGTGAATGGGATCAGTTTCTTGATTTCTCTTTCTGTTGCTTCATTATTGGTGTATAGAAATGTAACCGATTTCTCTACATTGATTTGAACCCTGCGACTTTGCTGGATTCATGGATCAGTTCTAGCAGCTTTCTGGTGGAGTCTGTCGGGTTTTCCATGTAGAGTATCATGTCATCTGTGAAAAGTGAAAGTTTGACTTCTTCTTTGCCAATTTTGATGCCTTTTATTTCATTTTGTTGTCTGACTGCTGAGGCTAGGACTTCCAGCACTATGTTAAACAAAAGTGGTGAGAGTGGACATCCCTGTCGTGTTCCTGATCTCAGGGGGAAAGCTCTCAGTTTTTCTCCTTGAGGATGATATTAGCTGTGAGCTTTTCATACATGGCTTTTATGAGGTTTAAGTAAATTTCTTCTATTCCGAATTTCTCGAGGGTTTTTATTAAGAAAGGATGCTGTACACTTTGGGGATGAGCACTGAGTGTTATGTAGAAACTAATTTGACAATAAACTATTTGTAAAAAAAAAAAAAAAAAAAAAGAAAGGATGCTGTATTTTGTCAAATGCTTTTTCTGCATTAACAGGATCATATGGTTATCTTTTCTTTCATTAATGTGATGCATCACACTGATTGATTTGCGAATATTGAACTAACCTGCAGCCCACTAATGAATCCCACTTGATCATGGTGGATAATTCTTTTTATATGCTGTTGAATTCAATTTGCTAGTATCTTGTTGAGAATTTTTACATCCATGTTCATCAGGGATATTGGCCTGTAATTCTTTTTAGTGGGGTCTCTTTCTGGTTTCGGAATCAAGGTAATGCTGGCTTCATAGAATGAATCCGGAAGCTTTCCTTCCATTTCTATTTTTTGGAACAGCTTGAGAAGGATAGGTATTAACTCTGCTTTAAATGTCTGGTAGAATTCCCCTTGGGATACCATCTGGCCCAGGACTCTTATTTTTGGGGAGATTTTTGATAACTGATTCAATTTCTTCACTAGTTATGGGTCTGTTACCCCATCTTCTTCACTGATTTGCTCCCTTGCTCCCATTCTCTAGCACCTTCCTGTGAGAGGATACAGAAAACACACATTTTGTGAACTTATATTACTGAAAGTGTCTACTGTAACTAACTATAGTTGTCTTCATATTGAATTCTAGGTTCAAGTCATTTCCCCTGAGAATTTTGAAAGCATTGCTCCATTTTCTTCAGTTTCTAGGGCTGCAACTAAGAGGTCAAATGCCATTCTGACTCTTGATCCTTTAAATGTATACTCTTTCATTCTTTCTGAAACATCTTAGAACAGTGTTGGTTTTCAATATTCTGAAACTGCAAAATAAGGTGCTTTGGTGTGGCTCTACATTCATCCATTATGTTGGGATTCAGTGAGCCCTTTCAATTTGGAAGCTCAAATCCTTCAGTTATGGGAAATGTTTTCAAAGTATTTATTTGAAGCATTTCTTCTTTTTCATTTTATTTTATTTTCCCTTTTCTCCTCACAGCCATTTCCAGGCAGTCATCTTCCCCTTCCCCATAGATTTTCTACCATTTGAGTCGATTATCATCAGAGTATTCCCCTCACCATTCTGCCTTGCACTCATCTACCACCCCAGCCAGAGATAACTCCCCTCATTACACACACACACACACACACGCATGCACAAAATTGGCTTCCATCACACTGTCACTCTCTCCAGTACTACTCTCATCATAATCCTTTGTAATTTTATTATCCCCATAGATGGTCCTTGCAAAATCCTAGCCTCTCAGTCTTTGATTTCTCTAGAGATTTCAGTGATCTCTCTTCAAACCTACCTTAACCACTCACTGCTCTGCTCTCACTCCAGGCCTTGTAATAACTCAATCACTGTAAAACCCTCTGAAATCTCCATGTCTAGAATCCCCACCACTACCTCTTCCCCCCATAAACATACACACCCCTTCATCTCAAGGTTACTCTGTCTAGGATATTCTCCAGGAACTACAGTCCTAACCATTTCCACTGTCCTTCACTCTTTCAAGTCTTCTCTTCTCTCTTAACCCAGCTTACATTCTATGGTCAGTCTTTATATAATCACTCCCCTGCCTGTCTGGCTAACACAATCCAGATACTCTGGATTAAATTAGATACTCTGTTAAATCAGATACTCTGCCTGTTCTGTACTTACACCTATAAAAGTTACATGGCTGGAGGGGGAAAAAAAGAAAACGAAAGCCTGTTAGCATCACCATACTACCAATCTCATTTTAGATTACTGATATCAACTCTTATTGCTGCCTAGCAACCATTCTTTATTTTCAGGCCTTCTAAAACAACTATTTAATCTCTTCTCTCCTCAAACTATCTGATGATTTTATTTCTAGTTCACTGAGAAAACACAGCCAATTAAAAAAGCAAAACCAAAGAAACTTCCATATGCATTATATTTATCTACCCACTTCACAAAACTGATCCCATATTCTTTGTCTTCCCTCCTTTTACTATAGATGAATTTTCTGTGCTCCCGGCCAAGAACCACCCATCCCCTAATTCACTAGATTCCATCCCGTCTTGTCTACTCAAAGATGTTGTTTCAGTAATTCTCCCCACTTTTTCCCCATGCTGTATTTCCCCCTTCCTACTGGATCTTTCTTGTCAACATACAAATATGCTTCTTAAGAAATTCTTTACTTGACCCACATACTCTTCCAGCCATGGCTCCATTTGGCTAGAAATTTCTCTAATGAGTCCCCATACTCTTAGTCTTCACTTGCTTTCTACCTATTCTCTTATATCCCCATCAGGCATTTACCTTTAGCACTCTACTGAAACATATCAAGGTCACCAACAAATTCCATAGTGCTAAGCATAATGGCCAATAGGCAGATCTTATCTTAAGTAACCCTTCAGCATCATTGACACAACTGTTCCTATCTCTTCCTCAAGACCTTGTCTTTGTTTTGCTTACAGGGTGTCCCTACTACACAGTCCATTTCTTCTGTCTCTTTACTGGTTCCTTGTCACTTCAGCGACCTGTAAATGTTGATGGATCTAAACAGTTCATTCGGTCTTCTCTTTTTCATCTAGCATCATTTGCTTAGATTTGTGAGATCTCTTCTGGTCTCACAGCTTTATCTCCCAAATTTATAACCTTAGTGTGTATCTCCACCACACTAAGTAGTAATATCCAAATACCTTGCTTATATCTCTTCTTGAATGTATAAAGGGTATTTCACAAGTATGACGTCCAAAAATTCCAGAGGTTCCCCTCCAAACTATCTATTTCCAATCTTCCCCACCTCAGTTATCAGCAATTTCACCTTTCATGTTACTCAGGCCAAAACTCCAGAACCACCCTTGTCTCTGCTATTTCTCCCTCACTCCCTATCCAATATGTCAGCAAATTCAGCTAGTCCTACATCCAAAATACTGCTAGAATTCAAATTTATTGCCATCTCCACTGCTCACACCCTGGTCCAAGCCACCCACCAACATCTCTCGCCTGTCTTATTGGAATAACTACCTAATTTCCCTTCCTTATTCTACTGTTGCTACTTCCAGTCTATTCCAAACACAGAAGTCAGATTGATCCTGTTAAAATACAAATCAGGGTGTTCTGGTTCCACTGTAGCAATGTAAACCCTCTCTAGCTCATCCCTGTCAATGATGACAAATACAAACTATGAACAACCTGAAAATCTTGAAATGTAACAAAAACAAAAAACATAGAGTATTGTTTTATAAGTATATTAAATTCCGTGGCATGCTATGTAGCCATCAAGCTTTATGTTGTAAAAATTGTGATTTCTAGGGCGCCTGGGTGGCTCAGTCAGTTGAGTGACTGACTTTGGCTCAGGTCAGGATCTCACAGTTTGTGAGCTGGAGCACCACATCAGGCTCTCTCCTGTCAGCGCAGAACCCACGTTGGATTCTATATTCCCCTCTCTCTGCCCCTCCCTCTCTCTCTCAAAAATAAACATTTTTTAAAAAACCACTTACAATAAATGATTTTATTTCCTAGAGCATATGCAATTTTTAAAATGTCTTTAACATTTTATATTAACATGATCAAGTTACAACCATTAACAAATAAAAGTCCTGAAAGCATAGCTATTACTTTGTTCATGTTTATAAACTTCATTAGTACAAAATTACATATTAATGCTCAAGATGATGTTGTCAGAACTATACTTTTTTTAAATCAGGAAAAAGTCATAAATGGCATATGTTAAAATAAAAAAGAAAGGCATTTAGTCAACATTTATCAAATACTATAAACTACTATACCAGGTACCCTGAGGACTATAAGGAAATAAAAATGGTAACTAATACAGAGCACTACTATATGCCAGGAACTATTTTAATTATTTGAATTCATTTGGTCCTCACAATAACACTAAAAGGCAGGCACAAGTTATTTTCACCATTTTACTGATTAGGAAATTAAAGTTACTTTAAGTTGTTCAAAGTCATACTGTAAGTATTTGGGGCAGGGTATCTAACCTAGGCAATCAGGAGCCAGGGTTTTTTTTTTTCCAACCACTTTACTTTCTTGTTTAAAGAAAGAAAACATACTGGTAAGTATGCTATTTTAAGTCCTTCAACATTCTCAGACAAGTGCAGAGGCACAACAAACATTAAAAGAAAAGTTCAATACCTGGTGTTCCAATGGCTCTTACATACGAGAATGCAATGTTTGCTTTTCCTTTCAGAGAATTTTCTATGCTCTGCAGGTCTTCCGCAGTGGTAATATATTTTACTTCATTAAAAAGAAGAGCACTGAAATAAACAGATGTAATTGGTAGAAAAATCTGATACATCCTTAGTTATTTAATACATATTTTGAGTAAGTTAAGGAACCTAATTAAAAAAAGAAACTTAAGTCTCTTGAACAAATTAACAATAGTAAGAAACTAAGCATTTTAATATTGAATTAAAATCACTCTCTTAATCATGTGTCTGTCCCTATGAATATCAACTGGGAACAGTTGTGAGAAATGGTGCTCATTCTCCAGCACAACCACCTTAATATATTTAAGTTGTATTCACTAACATCCTACTCTGGCCAAATAATACCTTACAAATCTCTAAGCCTTGAACACATTTGAGTCTTTTACATATCTAAACTGAAGGGTTCTTTTCACAGAGTATAAGGCTCTGCATGACCTACTTCTCCAACTCTGTACTGTTTCAGCATCCCTCATGTCTACACACTTTCAGCACACCTGAGGGCCTTTGCACACACCATTCTTTTTGCTGAAAACTATTCCCTCTGCTCCTTCTTACATATTTGGTCTCAGCTTAAACATCACTGCCTCAAAGAAACCATCCCTGTTGGCCCTATGTAACTAAGTCTGTAGCATTTTTCTCTTTAATTTTACATGATCTGATCCTTCATAGTTCTTATCACAATTTATAATTACTTATATATTTACTTACTTGTTTATCCCTGCCTTTCTTATTGAACTGTTTCCTTCCTTCATCAGGACCTTGCGTATTTTATCACTATATCCACAATAACTTAGAATAGAACCTAGTACACTGTAAGTAAACAATAAACATTTGTTGTGTGAATGAAAGAAAAAGCAAGATGGGAATTATTTATTCCCATTCATTTGAAGAAGTGCAAATCCAAAACAGAAAAGAGCTTACTTACTCAAAAATACATTTATGGAATTGAAGAGCCAGGAACAGAACATGAAACAGGTCTCTTAATTCCTAATTCAATGATCTTTCCACTTGACCATGATTCTTCCTAACCATCTTTTCAATATGTAGATCAGACTAATTAGTCATATTTCTTCACTCAAAAGAATCTCCTTTTTAAATTTTTTACTTCTATATAAATTATCTATCCATAACAACTCATTCCACTTAATCCCCATGCATGTGTGTGTGTGTGTGTGTGTGTGTGTGTGTCTTAGGCTAAACTTAAAGAATTTTTTTAAATTGTCCCAAGTTCACATACTTAAATAAGCAAACTACCTAACAGATTAGTCAACCATTGTTTCCTCTTAAGGAAAACATGGTACTTTCTGCTTATACAACAGTTATCAAACTTTTTGGTCTCAGGATACTTTTGTACCTTTAAAAGTCACTGAGCTCCTCAAAGAGCTTTCATTTATGTAGGTTACACCTATTTATAGTTACCAAAATAGAAATTAAAACAGCTATTTAAAAAATTTGTTAATTCTTTTAAAAATAATAAACACCACTGCACAGTAACACTTTATTTTAAAATAAGTTTTCCAAAACAAAAGAAAACTTTGGTGGTAAGAGTAGCCTTGTTTTACATTTTTGCAAATCTCTTTAATATTTGGACTAACAGAAAACAGCTGTATTCTCCTATCTGCTTTTTCACTCAATCTGTTGTGACAGCACACGGTTAATCATATAGCCTCTGGAAACTGAATTCATAAGAGAATGAAAATGAAAAAGGCAAACAATGTCTTAGTATTTTTACAAAACTACTGTGACTTTATGGGTACCCTGAAATAAGTACCCTAAATTACACTAGCTTACTTCTACATTATATATTTCTTCAATTTTTTAAAAGAAATGTAAAACTTGATATTCTGTAATTGCCAGGGCTCTTTTTTTGTATTATTTTTTAAAATTTTTACATTTTTTCAAAGTTTATTTACTTGTTTTGAGAGAGACAGAGAGAGTACAAGTGGGGGAAGGGGCAGAGAGAGAGAGAGGGAGAATCTCAAGCAGGCTCCACGCAGTTAGTGCAGAGCCCAATGTAGGGCTCAAACTCACGAAACCATAAGTCACCCAGGCACTGTTCTTGTTTCGTTTTTAAAAGCAATATTTTCTAAGCATTACTCACCATATGCTAGATATTTTCACATTTTCATATAAATTTAAATCCTCGATCGCATTATTTAAATATTCTTTATTACATGCACACACACACAAATAGTTTAAGGGATTAAGTAACCCGCCCAGGTCATAGTGATAGTCACTGGTAGAGCTGAGATTCAAATCCAGGTCTTCTGGCACTAAGGCCAAAACTTTCTAAACTATGTTATTACTGACCACTCATAAATGGGAAACCAGATGAAAAGGGAGGTATCTAATGAATAGCAAGAGAGTCTGTGTGGCAATTTGGGTTGTTTGCTGCTTATACATTTTGGCTAGCCTGTACAGAATTACCCTGGAGACATTTCAGTCTCCAGGGAAGTGCCATCTAGTGAACTTAACTGAGCTACCATGTAAATTCTAAGCTTAGAAATTACATCTGCCCTGACATGATACTCTACATAGAAAACCCGACAGACTCCACCAGAAGCCTACTAGAACTGATCCAAGAATTCAGCCAAGTTGCAGGGTACAAAATCAACGTACAGAAATCGGTTGCATTTTTATACACCAACAATGAAGCAACAGAAAGAGAAATCAAGAAACTGATCCCCTTCACAATTGCACAAAAAACCATAAAATACCTCGGAATAAACCTAACCAAGGATACAAGAGATCTGTATGATGAAAACTATAGAAAACTTATGAAGGAAATTGAAGAAGACACAAAGAAATGGAAAAACATTCCATGCTCATGGATAGGAAGAATAAATATAGTTAAGATGTCATTACTACCTAAAGCACTCTACACATTCAATGCAATTCCAATCAAAATTGCACCAGCATACTTCTCAAAACTAGAACAAACTATCCAAAAATTTGTATGGAACCACAAAAGACCCCGAATAGCCAAAGTAATACTGAAAAATAAAACCAAAACGGGAGGTATCACCATCCCAGACTTCAGCCTCTACTACAAAGCTGTCATCCTCAAGACAGTATGGTATTGGCACAAAAACAGACACATAGACCAATGGAACAGAATTGAGAACTCAGAAGTGGACCCAAAAGTATACAGCCAACTGATCTTTGACAAAGCAGGAAAGAATATCCAATGGAAAAAAGACAGCCTTTTTAACAGATGGTGTTGGGAGAACTGGACAGCAACATGCAGAAGAATGAAACTAGATCATTTTCTCACACCATGCACAAAAATCAACTCAAAATGGATAAAGGACCTGAACGTGAGACAGGAAACTATCAACACCCTAGAGGAGAAAGCAGGAAACAACCTCCTTGACCTCCACCGCAGCAACTTCTTACTTGACACATCCCCAAAAGCAAGGGAATCAAGAGCAAAAATAAACTGTTGGGACCTCATCAAGATTAAAAGCTTCTGCACAGCCAAGGAAACAACCCAGAAAATTAATAGGCAACCAACGGAATGGGAAAAGATAGTTGCAAATGACATATCAGATAAAGGGTTAATATCCAGAATCTATAAGGAACTCACCAAACTACACGCCCGAAAAACAAACAACCCAGTGAAGAAATGGGCAGAAGACATGAACAGACACTTCTCCAAAGAGGACATCCAGATGGCCAACAGACACATGAAACGATGCTCAGCATCCCTCCTCATCAGGGAAATACAAATCAAAACCACACTGAGATACCACCTCACGCCAGTCAGAGTGGCTAAAATGAGCAAATCAGAGAACTCTAGATGCTGGCGAGGATGTGGAGAAACGGGCACCCTCCTACACTGTTGGTGGGAATGTAAACTGGTACAGCCCCTCTGGAAAACAGTGTGGAGGTTCCTCAGGAAACTAACAATAGAACTCCCTTATGACCCAGCAATAGCACTGCTAGGAATTTACCCAAGGGATACAGAAATGCTGAGGCATAGGAGCACATGTACCCCAATGTTCATAGCAGCACTCTCCACAATAGCTAAAACATGGAAAGAGCCTAAGTGTCCATCAACAGATGAATGGATCAAGAAGATGTGGTTTATCTATACCATGGAATACTACATGGCAATGAGAAACAATGAAATCTGGCCATGTGTAGCAACATGGATGGACCTTGAGGGTGTTATGCTGAGCGAAATAAGTCAGGCAGAGAAGGACAAATATCATATGTTTGCACGTATAGGAGGATTAGGAGGAACTTGACGGAGGAACAAGGGGGAGAAGAAGGGCGGAAATGGTGGGGGAAAGGGAGAGAGGCAAACCATGAGAGACTCTTGAATGCTGACAAAAACTGAGGACTGATGGATGTGGGGGGGAGGGGGGGATGGGCATGGAGGAGGGCACTTTGGGGATGAGCACTGAGTGTTATGTAGAAACTAATTTGACAATAAACTATTTGTAAAAAAAAAAAAAAGAAATTACATCTGCCCATTCACGTTTATTGCTCTAGCAACTCTAATAATCCATTTGCTTCAAAAACCATATCTGGGAGTAGAAATCCCCCTAACCTTGTTTCTCAACAAAACTGGCAAATATAAATTAACAAAAGCCAACATTTGGGGGGCACCTACTACATGTCAGGCACAGTACTTACTAAGCACTCCATGGTAATGGTAATTTTATCAGTTTGGGAACTGTTCAGCTCTGAACCCTTCTCTTTTGCTTTGGGGATTTCCATTTTTCTATATATTCAAGCCCTACCACACACACACACACACACACACACACATACACACACACACACACACACACACCACTAAAAGCTAAAAATATCATAAACTTGCTCCTCTAGGCTTCCTACTGCAAGACACGGCCATGAGACTCAGAATCACTTACCTGACATTCTGACCAGAAACCACTGATGTAAAGAATAAGGGACAGTACAGAATTATTTCAAGAGGCAGCAAAGCAACAGTCAGCTTTAAATGACAGGGTACCTCGGTGGCTCAGTCAGTTAAACATCTGACTCTTGATTTTTGGGTCAGGTCATGATCTCCCAGT